AGAGCCGTGTCGGGCTGAAAGGTTATTAAGTGGATGGATGACAGTTTGATCTAACCGACGGGGGTGACGGCTGAGATGAGCGCCAGTTACTGCCTGTCTGCTGGTGTCTGTTATTTCTGTGATTATCGCGGAAGCGGAGAGATGGAAAGGGGCGCCGCTCTGCCTCATTTCGGTGAAGAGGTTGAGCAGAGCGAGGAAGTGTGAAGATGTTTTCTCCGCGAACAAGGGTAGAAAAGTTGAGTAAAGACAGTGCTGTGAATGCAATGAACTACGCTGAGGGGTTCGGACCATTTTTTCTTGTTTGTGTTTTTGTCAGGGCGTTTAAAAGTGTGTAGAATTCTAAGCTAAAACACAACTGGGAATTTTTAGTCTTTACCTTTTTATCTGAGGGATTCAACACATTTTTACTCCTCTTCTTTACACGAAATCCATCAGATGATAATAATAATAATAATAATAATAATAATAATAATAACATTCACGGATGTGAATGTGTTGTAGAATATCTTTTTTAAATGGAAAAAGGAAAAAAAAATGGCAATGGGCTTCGCACAGATACTTTTAGTTAATTGTCAACGGTCTATATTTGACGTATAAGGCGAGCGAAGTCCTTACCTGTCTGCGCTGAGGACGGTCAGTGTAAATACGGACACGCCGACCGATGTTAGCTGGACGAAAGAGATGACCTTGCAGCCGGCCTCGCCGAACAGCCAGGTATCGGCGACATAGCGCGTGGCGTCCACGGGCACACAGGTCACGAGCAGCAGCAGGTCTCCCACGGCCAGACTGGCGATGAAGATGTTGGGCACCGTCTGCATGGTCCGGACTGTGAAAAACACTTTGATCAGAATGGCGTTTCCCACGACGCCGATCGCGATAATCGCGCCGTGCACAGCCAGCACGGGGATTAACACCGCCGGACCCAGATGTGCCTCATCCGCGGAGTCTCTGTCCGGGGTGCGGACAGTGGGCGCTGTGCTGCCGGCCATCAGCGAAGTCAAGTTGAAATAATCCATGAGGGTGATTGAACATAATTTAGGACAACGAATTCATGAAACGCATCTTAAAAGAGGCTGTAGCTGACGCGCCGTGCCTTGTTTGACCTGGTGCGTGGAGCACAGTACATCTTTCCGAGCAGAAACTGCGGCGCCGGAATTCGGAGTGCGAGATGCAGAGCAATTAACAACACCTCCAGTCCTGTGTTTCATGTGGCGAACAGAGTGTAAAACAGAGGTGGGCTAACAGCTGATTGGCGCTGGTGCACCAGCAAATCTGAAGTCAGGCTTGGATTTTGCCGGTATCCCAGGAATTTCAGTATGTGCTCCACAGAACCACACACTTCAGGAGCCGAAAAGCCGAGCGCTAATTGTGCACTCAACTACCCACCGAGTTTATTAATTTCTGATCATGGACTGGGTCATCTTGTGCTGTTTTTATGTAGATAGTACATCCCTTTCCCATACTGTATACGCTAACTCGGATGTTGAGTATTTCTGACAAGATTAAAACAGACGGGAAATAAAGATTGTAAATGAATGAGATGATCTGAAATGACCTAAATTAAGGACACCTGGGGAACCTTGTGTATGAATCGTTCATTTTAAAGGAGATGGGGAAGGGGTCTATAGAGGAAGCGCTTGCAATCTGCATGTGCTGTACCTGTCCCGATCGTGGTGCTTTGCTCATCAACCGATTACCAGCTGCCGCTAGACGGGATGTTGTTCTGTTGCGGGAAAGCGCTTCATAGTGCATAAATCCGACTGGCTGTACTGTGTCATTTTTTAAAATTGTCATTGTCTTAATTGATGGAGTGCTTCCCTCGGTTCCTGTTGTAATCTTTCGATTTACAGTCTGCATATTGTCCAGTCTTCATTGGGAGCTATTAAGTGTACAAGATGCGTGGGGCTGTCGAGTGACAGCAATTAATCCTCCGTGCCGGCCCGGAGGAACCGACGGGACGGAAAATCAATCTTAATGACTAACGCAAGGCCTGAAAGTGAAGTCCCTCTCATTCTAAATATGTCTAATTAGATTTTATAATCGCATTCGTACTCGCAGGGAAGGGGCGAACATGCCAAGGAACGCCCGAGAAGTACCGCAAGCGGACTTCACGATTAGCCCCATCTTCTGACAGGTTTTTAAAAGAATTGATCTGGCAAAATAGAATCAGAGCGGCAGGGTCCAGAGGAGATGTTGCAGGAGCAGGTAGAACAAAATGAAGGATTTACAGCGCATTGATCTGTAAGCGCGTTCTCTGCCAACAGGAAACGATTTACGCTCAGGGGCACCGAAACGCCTTGAATCGATAAGCTGAGGCCAGGAGAGATATATCTCAGGTGATGAAATATCAGGCACTCCCAGGACAGCATGTACTGTAGGTGGGGAGGGTCTGGCAGCTGTTTAATTACTGCTGTAGGCAGGAGTTTAGAAAAACACACAGCCACTAAACACAAGAGTCCGTTTCTCATAAAAGTTTATCCCACTGGGGCGACCGCAGCTTGTGAGCCCCTGCCTTACATGACACCGTCTAAACGCACAGCCCCAGAGAGCTCAACGTTACCTGACGTGCAGTGCTCATCAGATTACAGTAGCTAAACAAGGCTGACTTGGTCAGGTACCTGGATTGGAGTCCTCAGAGTGTTGGGGGGCCAGTAGGTTGCGTTTTTCTGTCAGGACCAGAATTACAGCCCCCCTCCATATGGTGACTGGGTAGGGAGTGATGTCCTGTAGGGAGCGCTGTTGTTCTGAGGAGATGTTAAACCCAGTTTTGGCCACCAGGGCCCCAGCACTACCAGGAAGCTGTGTTAACCACTGGGCCACCATACCAGGTGTGAGCTCTTGGGTATTAATGTCCCACGACACTTGTGTTAACCCTGGTATCCTGTCTAGATTACACTCTGGACTTGCAGGATCTGACTTCCTTAAAGATTCTCTTTGATTCAAACAGTGAGGCAATCTTTCATTTACAGAATGACTGTGGTGTGTCTCAGTGGACTTCCAGCATTCACCAATTATTTTTTTAGACAATAGATTTTCAGACAATAGTTTTGCAAAGTTAATGTTAGTAGTTTGTTAACATGACAGCTTACAGTATAAATATGCAAAAATAATGGCCCACAGGGAACACATATAATAGGAAACTAAATTAATTAGACAGCATAATGAAGCATAATGAAATCTGAACCATGCAGTTTAGCATTCATAGCCAGAAAGGAACTCATCAACTTATCCACGTCTACAGATAATCAAGGAGAGGAGGAACCCATTTGTCTGACTGAGTGACAAAGCAGTGAAAAAGAGCAAACAACTTGACACAGCTCCCACTACCCACTAAGCTGCCATCGTATCTCATCAGTCTTTGTTCATTAGTTGAGAAGCTGGCATTTTCATTGTGAAAGCACCATTAGCATTTGGTGGCACAGACGAAGCTTTGCCGTCTGTTTCAATGTTCAGCAGACATCTTCCAGACGGGCTCTGAATTCTAAACAATAAAATCAATCAGAATGGGGCTTTCATGCTCAGATGCCTTCACTTTACTGAACTACGCCCACTTCTCCGGCCCAGTGAGCCGATATTTAACTCAGATCGCTTTTAGACAGTGACATTTGTTATTCCCAGCAGTGCTAAGAAATTGAATCTTAACACATGTGCCATCCAAAAAACAACTGGCTTTTTAACCCAACACTCCTTATACAGACTCCCTTCATTACACGGTGCCCTGTGAGACAGATACAGTCCGCCAGTTGCCGAACAATTGACTACAGATTTGATTTCTTCTTGAGGCAGCTCAAGAGCTCTAAATTATATTAAACAAGTAGCCCCAGGCTCAAAAACGCTGTTTCCACACACAGCCTGGAGGATCTAGTTGTATTAAAGAGTTGTAAAATCAGCCAACTTGCTGAGCTCACAAGAGTATTAACTGTGCTTTTTATTTAACTTAGCCTCTGCTTCCTATCCTCTGAACAAATCAGTGAAAGTGATTTTCTTTCCAGCGTCATGAAACTTCTTGCTTTGTGAACACTGTGTAATGTATTTGCCTTCTGCCAGCCATATGGTGCTGAATTTCTCCACTCTGGCGCAATGTGCTGCATGTGGACATTTTTCATTCTTCTCATAAACTTCACATTCCAACGCAGGAGCAGCTGACTGGGACCCGACACCTGTACACTGCAGATGGGTTGACCAAAACATGAACACAAAATATTTCGAACACACGATATATAATATCACAAACACGAAATATCCCACTCCCCCAGAGAGAGATTGTAGTTATGGGCAGATGTCATTCTAATTATTGTATTATTAAATTAGTTCTACATTTGATCAAGACAATCGCTGACAACAACGCCGATGCACGCCACATTTCTGAGAGTGGTGAAGGCTGCCTTTTCCAGTGAGGAGTCAGTTGTTCTGTTTTCGCCAGGGTTTGTGAGCAGTTTGGCATTTTGTGATGCAAAAGAAAGAGTTTACTTTCAGGGCAAAAGTGTTATTCGTCCTGTGTAGCAGGAGGATTTACTTGACACCCGAAGAAGGCTCCGCAGTTGAAACGTTGCATATATTTTCTGCTCTTTTCAGCAGGGAATAAACCCTGTTCCTTTGCAGCCTCCATATGCTGACACAGCTCCCTGCTTGAACGACTCTGAAATCACTTCCAGCAAAGAGCAGATTTTAACTCAACATTCCAAAGTCATTCCAGCTTCAAGATTCCATTCCAAAGCCCCTTAAAACTGTGCTGTATCATAATCTTACACTCTGTGTTGAAGAACAGCTCAATGGACCAGGGTCAGAGAGTATAAAATCTGGGACTGGGATTGTGCGCTGGTCTATCACAGCCTCCAGCACAGAAGCCATCAGTAAAGACTGGAGGTAGAGAGGGATTAGGATCCAGGCCTCCTGCCTGGAAGATTCTGGGTTCAAGTCCCAGGTGACATCCTGCTGTTTGACCCTTTAAAGGTTATCTTTCATCAGATTAAACCTGCTTCTTTTGCTTTGAGAAACTTCTGACTGTACTATGAAGAAAACACCCTATTCCACTGTACTGCTGCCATTTCATAAAGGAAGCATTCCAGTCCTCCACCATGTCTTTTCAAATTTATTCTGGTTCCAATTCCTCAAGAAATGTCTTTATGATGTATTATCTGCTGTGGTGTTACTCTGAAGGAATATGATTAGATTACAAATTCATATAGGGAAAAAAACTCGTTAATAATTATATTTGGTTTTATTATACAAATGTCACAGGGCAGCATGCAGTAGAACCTTTACTAAATAACTGCCAAAATAAATCACTCTTTAGAATTTAATAGGATTTACTGAATGCATAGCAAGATTTTGTGGTACAGATCCATTGTAGTATACCTCAACAGACAACAAGCGCTAGCGATTTTCAATATGGATACAAACAATGCAGATTTTTTTGTCTACTGTAGTTGAGGAAACTGTTCCATTTTACCGGCTGTGAAATGAGCTAATGATCTAAGGTTCTCTTTATTTTGTGCTTGTAATTTTCAGCCTTCATTTCACAAAACATTGAGGATTTACATCGTGATCTTCTTTGAAAGGTATTTAAAAATGAAAGTGGATTTCGTTTTTTTCAAACTGTGCACATCAGGGCTTGACAGCTGGGGCTGTGCAAAAAATAAATGCATTTTTGTCATGCTTCCTTCAAGTTTTTTCTGACTGCACTGTTGAAGAGTACGTGTTTCACCGGACAGGGAGAGAATGAAAACGAAGAGTAGACAGTGCATGCATGGTTGTCCACACCTCACATTCAATTTAGTAACAGACTGCTCGAGTTATGGTGTTCAAGGGAACATTTCTGCAGGTCCTTCCTCCTGGCGGCTGTCAGGGTGTATAACACTACCCTAGGCTAGGACTGTTAGCCCTTCATCTGCTTATCTATGGACAGCATATTGCACTATTGTACTTTTTGGACACTGCATTAATATACTATTTATACACTGGTACTTTCAATCTGTATATACCTATGCGTATTTTGCACATATTTTATTGTTTTACAGTGACTATGAGCATATTTTGCACACACCTAACTCTATATATTTTATTTTGTATTGCTGTACTTATTTTATTTTAATTTTTAGTCTATTCTGATGTCTGTGTTTGCTTGTCTAGTACCAGTACTGCTCTGGTGGAAAAGCCAGTGCAGGATTTGCTCCCTAGAAAAGAGGGACAGGAAGTGGCATGTGTACCTACCATGTTGTAACCTAATTTCGTCAGATCTAAGAAGTTAAGCAGGATTAGGCCTGATCAGAACTGGGAGGGGAGCTCTCTAAGGAAAATCTGATTGTTGTTGTAAGGGGTGTTGGTGGACCAGTAGGTGGTGCTTTTCCCCCTAAATCAGCATTTCCAAAGCAAAGCTCCAGAATGGTCATTAGGGGGCGCTGTGCGGCAGGAGGTGCTTTTGTTTAGGCAACATGTTATACCGAGATCCAGAAGATCCGGTCATTAAAGATCTTGTGGTATATTTTGTAAGAACAGGGGAGTTGATACAGGTGTCACCTGCACATTCAGGCATACCGAAGTGTTCTCCGTTATTCAATGGGCGAAGTGATTTCTCACTGTTGTGCAGTGAGGCTCATGAATCTCTCCCTGGTGGGCGCTGAATGTCAGTGGTGAAGAAAGTTGGTACTTTGCTACATGAATCACCTCAGGAACCTTAGGGATGGAAAGCTCTATATTGTCACAAGCAATTATCATTATAGAATTTAGATTCATAACGTCTAACATCTCCCATTGCTCAGTGGCTTCAATGTTAGTGCTGCACCTTATAATTACTTCTAGAAACGTATCAATGGCAGTGCAAGGGAGCAGGGAACTGATGAATTACTTACTCTGCATTCTGTTAGATCAAAAATGTGAAAACTGAGCCCCGGATGTCAAGCACTGTTACAGTCACACGATCAAAAGCCTGGCTCCTCCCTGCTGCACCACACTTTGTCAGTTTGTACACTAGCTCGTCCTAGGGGGTTTTCTGAGAGCCTTGCCTGCTAATCAAGCCTTGTCCATCAGGTGGCCTTTACCCAGTTGAGGGAAATTTGCATCATTGTGGGAGAAACAGTGGAGCGCCTGAGAGCCTGAGATTCAGGCCCTTGGAGACCTGACTGCATGGATCGACTCTGCACCCCGTCCGCTTGAAATGTTGAGTCCCGAGTGGGAAGCAAACCTAGGCCCTGGGATCTGGGAGGTGTGCTGCCAGTCGGAGAGCCCTCAGTAGGACCTCTCTCTGGGCAGCCAGGAGCACACCTGGTAGGTCCCCTCCATCTCCCTGGGCCCCACCCGCAGCACGTCGTGAAAGGAAGGGCTGTGAGCCTGGGGCACCGTCAGGGTGTTCTCGTACACCAGGTCTACAGGTGGAGCAGAGAAAACAAAGAGCAGAGAAGGAAGCAATTTGTGTCACTTTATTCCAAAGTCTAGATTCTTTGCACAGCACATACTGTGACGTGCCTCGCCCACCCACACAGCACTGAAAGAATTCTGTCCGAGCTTGTTCCAGAGCCGTGTGGGTGAAAATGACCATGCAGCACACAAGCGTTTCTCAGCTCTTCCTGACACAGGAGAGTCTCTTTTCAATGCATCACTGTCAACAACCTCCTCCAGTTTAAACAGAAAGCCAAAGGCACACACAGAACTAATGTACGATAACGCAAGTACTGACTGTCTCATATAACTGAGATTCCTAAAGAAAGCGCTTGAGCAAAGTCTCGCAATGAGTCTGAAGGAAGGACCCATGGCCACTGGCCCCTGTGTTAGAGTGCTGATTTCTGCAACACTAGACTGCAGACGAAAGTGTTCCCCGTGTCTCTGGGGGCCCGCTGGTACAGACAGACTGGAGCAGAGGGCAGTGACGTGCTGCTCCTGAGCCAGTGCACTTACCTGGAGTGGAGACCAGCCTCCCCCCCGAGTCCGACTCGTTGGAGGTGCTGCTGGTGGAGTTGGATTTGTCCGACTTGGCCGACTTGACAGAAGGAGAATGGGCGAGCTGTTTCTCTCTCGACTTTGTGCCCGACTGGCTCCACTCTGGAAAACAGAACCAAACGAGGATGGTGGGCTTGATGGGTACGAGTGCAGTCACTGGCAGGATGTCAGTTTGTGTGGATCTGCTCATGCAATTCTCTTAAGAGAACCTTATCACCAGATACACAAAAGAGGAGGAAAGGAAAACTGACGATTTTACTAAAAACGGGAAGAGATGTCTTTGCTGCCATTGGTTGTTCGCTCATCTTTCAGACACAGCGATGGCATTGAGCTGAAACGCTTGTGGGATATAAATTATAACTCACTAGGTGTAATTCTGTTTCTCTCCATACTGCCAGGGGATCTGCGTGGTGAGCCAGAATTTGAAGAATAAGAGCAAGGAAAGGGCGGTAAAAACATGGGCTGGAAAACCTGAGCAGAAGTGTTATCAGCGCTGGGTAACAGCCTGCCACAGAGGTCACATGCTCCACCAAGGCAGAAACCCGCCCCTGAGCCCGCCATACCTGAGGTGGTGGCGAGTCGGAATCGACCACAGCACAGGTGGATCCTCCACTGCTTCCGCACGCTGTCCTTCATCAGGCAGTGGAAGACGAAGATGAAGAACCCTGCAGGCGGACAGACACGTCACTGCAGGCAGAGCAAGAGAGCGCACTGCACAGTACAGTATAGCCAATAAAGTCAACAATAATCCCCATCTCTGAACTGGCTTCATTACTCTGCTCTCCTCCCCACTGATAGCTGGTGTGTGGTGAGCGCTCTGGTGCACTCTGGCTGCTGTCGCATCATCCAGGTGGGGCTGCACACTGGTGGTGGAGGGGATCCCCATGACCTGTAAAGCGCTTTGAGTGGAGTGTCCAGAAAAAGCGCCACATAAGTGTAAGCAATCATTATTATTATTAAAGGAGCTGAGCAAAGGCTGTACTGGCAATTAAAAGATAAAGCAGGATTGAAACCGAGACAAAGACTCGGACGTGCCACCAGAGAGTGTGACTGCAGCACCAAACAGATACCAGATTAATGAGCCTCAGATGGGGTAGCAGACGACACGCCATCTTCTGCCAGCTGATCTGAAGGAATCAGTGTTTCTCTTGAGGGCTGAAAGGACGTGAACGAAGCCACACAGATGGATAGGAAAGCCTGCGCACCATCTCAGAAAGACGCTTTGTAATCTTCAGCTTTTTTCAGAAAGGAAACTCGTTGCATATTTTGTGGACGAGCGGGGTGTCCTCCCGCGGGGGGGGGGGTGCGCTCTCACCTTGCAGGCTGTTGAAGATGGAGAAGAGGTAGAGCAGGGGCACCCTGGCCGGCCCCCAGGCCAGGAAGGCCAAGGCCCAGGTGAGGCCCAGCAGGAAGGTGATGCTGGCCACGCTCTTGAGGTCGTGCAGGAGGCCGCCGCGGCAGCCCGCCGGCTGCTTGGCCTTCACGTTGCGGATCTGGAGCAGCACCACGACGAACACGGCCACGTTGCACAGCAGGACCAGCAGGAAGAAGGCCACCACCGACACGTAGAACGCCACGTCGCTCTGCACCCAGCAGCTGAGAGGCACGCCAGCGCAGGGCAATGAGCTCCCAGGCACAATGGGAGAAGCCACCGCCCCTCAGACCGGACGGACACACGCACTCTTGAGCAGAATGACGTTTTGGTGGAGCGAATACCCCTGCTTCCAGGGCCATGGGATCTTTAGTTACTAGGCAGTCAGGGCTAAACAAAGACTCAGATGCGCCGCTCTGAACTTACGGGGCAGAGCGGTGGCTCTGTGGCTCAGGATCTGCACCTGTGACTGGAAGGTTGCCGGTTCAAATCCCGCGGCCGGCAGAGGAATCCTATTCTGTTGGGCCTCTGAGCAAGGCCCTTAACCCTAACTGCTCCAGGGGCACTGTACAATGGCAGACCCTGTGCTCTGACCCCCAGCTTCTCTCCCTGTCTGTGTCTCCATGGAGAAAAGCTGGGGAGCTGGGGTATGCGAAAAGACGAATTCCTAATGCAAAAAATTGTACAGGGCTAATAAAGAAACATTACATTACAGAACTTCAGTTTAACGTCTCATTCAAAGGCCAGGATCTCCTACAGCACAGTGTCCTCAGTTGCCATACTGGAAATTCTGGCCCAGAGGGAAAGGCACCACCCACTGGCCCACTAACACTATTTACAGCTGAAATCTGAAACTGTTTGGAGGTCTGCCAAAAAATAATATTGTTCCAAACTCCTTGTAAGTCCCGAGTACATAATGAAGCTTTTTAATTTTCCATCTTATGTTTTCATAATCTTTATTACATCTAGTTTTGTAGGAGCTCGTAACCTTGGCACTGCTATGCCCTGCTTCAAATGAAAAAAGACTGCAGTTCACAGCAGACCTGTTTACTTCAAACCGATTCTAAACAGAGAGCAAGGTAATGTGACAAACTGTCGCAGGCTTCACATCTGTCAGCGCATCCGTATCACTTACAACAATTCCTCGGAGTCTTCCGATGGACTGAGAGACTTGGCATAGAGTCCACTGCCATAGGCGTCTTTATTAATTGCCAATACAAGGGCAATGACCAGCAGTGGAATCCCTAGGGCAGAAAAGCACATTTATATATATGCTGTTTGAATATACATTTTTTTTGTAAAAATTCACGATGCACCATTTTCATATAATATACACTAGTTAAAAACTCATGCATGCATCCTGAAAATCTGTTTGCACTGCAGCAGTTGCTTGACTTTATTCAGATCCTTATCCTGGATACTTTAATTATGATAAAGACCTGCTGATCTGTTACATGGAAGGCAGTGATGGTGCAGTCCTGATTTAGTGTCTGGTCCTGAAATGTTGCAGCAGCGCCTCTCACAGTGATCTCTATAGCACCTCAGACCAGGGCTGGGCCATCCCGCTCCCAAAGGCCTGATAAGTCTGCAGGTCTTCTAGGTCTCTCAAAGTACCTTCTGAAGATGATCAGATTGGCCCCATTAAGCTAATAATGAGTTGATTGAAGGTGAATAGCAGAGCTGGAATAAAAACCTAGCCCTCTGGGGACCAGGACTGCCCACCTCTGTGTTACACTAAGTCAAGAGAGCCATGCCTCTACCCTTTGAGCCTGATATGACAAAAGCTAATATTGCATCTACTTTACAACAGGGAAGCACTTTGAAGGTGATCGTGAGAGCGATCTCGATGATGAACATCACACTGATAGCAATAATGGTGATTGTGGTGTTTGGATTATGGAAATGTTTTATCATTGTTAGTGTTATTGCTGTTTTTCCTTAGCTTACCCCACCCAGCAGAGCAGAACTTGAGGATGTAGCAGGGAACATAGATGTTGAAGACCTTGACCAGGGCGAAGTACATGTGCACAGCCTCCAGGCCCATCCAGGTGAAGGAGGCCAACAGGAAGTAGTGCAGGATGACAGCCACGGAGATGCACAGGCCACGGCGATTGAAGGAGGCCAGCCAGGAGTCCACCAGAAACACCAGGTTCAAGCCCAGCAGGGCGGCAGAGAGATTCATCAGGATCTTCGACGGATAGTCCCTGCGCAGTTTTCTAACAGAGAGAGGACAGAGAGAAGAAGGAGTTTAGCAGCAAGGCTGAGGGAATAATAGGGATTGATTACTTGTATGTCTCCTCTAATCTCTGCAATTAGTTCCACTGGAGTTCCTTTGGTTGGAGGCTCAGATGAAATTCAATGTCCTGGAAAATCAAGCCACATATGGGGCACAACCGAACCAGCTCTGGAATCTGTCCATCTTGTGCAGAAGCACTGATACTCGACTTTATTCCATCAAGATTAGTCCACTCCAATGTTCTACATACTGGGGTGTCTACTTAAACTTTAATTGTAATTGTTAACTCTAATTTAATTGATATTAAAATGAGTTTAATATCAAGGTAGCAATCAGTTTGTGTGCCACCTAAAACAACTCTGCATGAGTGTATAACTTTGTAATTTGCACTGTCTCCCTGTAGAATTGGTTTTGGAGTGGTTCTCCTTGGCACATGTAAAGCATATCCAGATCACCAGAAGGATTTATCGCACAAGTGCAGTCCAGAGACCTCCCAGTTCAGACCGGATTCCATACACTGGGTGACAGGACCATGAGGTGTGCACACAGCTTAATCTATTAGAGACACTGTGACTGTCAAAATCCTTAGATCAATCTTTGCACTGCAGCGTTCAATGTGCAATACTGCTTTATCTATTTTTTCACTTCTGTTATGTATGCAAAGGTGCGCTATTGTCCAGAACCTTATAAGCCAAATGAATTGTAACTCTTATGAGAACCATGACGACAATGAAACAAGCAATGTTCTCCTCTAAGCCGGATACTCACTCGAAGGCTGTGTAGGTGAGTAAGCTGATCCCCAGAAACAAGGCAGACAGTCCACAGCCCACGTAGGTGATGAGGGTGAGGATCCGGTTATCCACAGAATTCACAGGGGACCTGGAGGGGACCTGCATCAGAGAAAACATCACAGCCCACCACTGAAGAGCAAGTCAGTCAAGTCCACTTCTTTTTCTTGAGGTCAGACATGGGCTTCTTCACAGCTCCCACCACCAGTGCAGAATGAAAGACCAACTATCGCAACACCTGAATCACCTTTCCTGTTCACTTTGCCTGTGGTAGACATTTAATTTCACGTTACGGCATGCACACACAAGACTGCGCAGCAGTGGGGAACCCTTTCCTCCAGATTCCAACTCATCCTCGTAAGCAGCAGCTTCTCCATTTCAGCCACCGGTTGAATACAGTAGTTCGCCACGGAAAAAAAAACAGAAGACTCCCAGGGCTCTTGAGCTGCCCTGCTGTAAAAGGAGGCGTCTTACCAGAAGCACCCCGAAGTGCGTGAGGTGGTCGCAGACACAGGTGGTGTGGTTCACACTGGTGCCATATACCTCACAACCCTCAGGACTCCACCCTCCCTGTCCACCTGGAACACACAGCAGCACCCTTTACAGAGGCTCGTCAGCAGGAGGAAACCTCTGCCAGGCCTCACCCTCATGCGGCTTCACAGGGCTGGACTGGCAACCCACCTCAACCAGCAAACACGCACAAACGAGGCAGAAAACGCATTGGTCTGGACAAATAACCCTTCCAATTCAATGGCGGGATCTTTAGGTACGCGCTTTGGCTTTGAGGAGGCAGCTGCCAACCCGTTCTGCCAACCCGGAGATGACAGGCCGTGGGGCAGCCTGCAGGGCTCACCGTTCTTCTGCAGATCCCAGAAGACGCACTGGACCTGCTGGCCGAGCTGTGGAGGGGAGGAAAAGAGACAAAACGCAGGTAAACGCGGGCGCCTCGGCTCTAACTCAACAACCCGTTCAGACAGAACTCCCTGGAGGAGACGAGGGCCGCACCCGGTTGGGTTTGAGATGGTGTAGCGTCACAGTGACTGGGTCCCTCAGGTTCCTGATGGTGGCGTTGGTCACGCTGCCGGATATCACATAGGTGAGCAGGGACTTTTCCTTCATGGAGTCCTGAAAGACAAGGAGATCTTCTCTCTTCTGTTCTCTGAGAGGTCTGCAAGTAGGATTTGGCACTTTTTTGTGAGTTCATAGCAGGGACTGGAGAGGAAGGTTAGATCCTAAGTTCTCACATTTGTGCTCGACCTAAGTACATCAGTCTCGCACCCGGGACTTCCCTCCGCGTGCCTCTCAGACATCCCCCCACCTCGTCTACACCCAAACTCCCCAGCCCACCGCTCGCAGTAGCCCTGCCTCTCGACTAGACTGCCATTCCCTCAGCCAGGACAGTCGCTCGAAACACTTTATAGATATTTCATCTCTCTGTCGCGTTTATTAGGATCTCACTGAACTGCTGAAATCTCGGTTAGCAAAAGCTTTCCTGGACAGATGTCACTGTGTTTGTGAAACTGGGACCTGGTGCTCTAATGTGCAAGTTGAGCCCCAGGTCCTCTGCTCCTCTGTGCTCCTCACTGCCAGGGGGCGCTGCAGAGTAAGGGAAAAACCCGGTACCTACAGTCACACTGTGAAACTACAGTTGCATTTCCTGTGGTGTTAACATATCTTCACTGTGCTTCTTCATACCATGGGATGCCACAGCAAAACTACGGTAAAAATGCAAATATACTATGGAAAATTGACCAAAGCAACCTATCAAGAGTGAGCGAGCGGGGGGGCACTGCCCCCTGGCTGTACCTGGAAAAGTTCGGTTTTCCCATAGAACTGGAACTGCACCCGGGATCTGGCGAGCTCTGTGTGCTGGGGGAAGTGGTTTTCCAGAGCGGAGGGCAGAGAGATGAAAGCTATAGTATGGCTGGAAGGCCCCTGGTTTATGAAAACCTGCAAGAACAACCAAACAAATAAAACACACACACCGATGTTGACACACACAGAAAGAAAAGGCGTGGCTGGCAGCGATGGGCGTCTTGTTAGGGAGTGTAAAACACTCTGGCTTTATAATCACCCCAGTCCAACGTCCTCATGCGGAGGCCTGCAACAGCGGGGGGCGCTCAGGAGCTCTCAATCTGCCCACACAGAGCAAGCAACACCCCAGCCTTTAAAAATTCCAACCCGTTCAACTCCCATTTAAAAAAAAGGATGCCTTGTTGCATTCTCCAGGATGCTGTCATTGTCCGGGGTTCCCTGGAGCTGCAAAGCTATTTCCACATCACAAAGTGCCAGTTCAGTCCTGGAGATTCTAGTCACTGCCCTTTTTTAGTCACATATTATTAATTTGCTGTTTTATTTAAACAGGATCTTATTCTACATGGTGTACTGCACAACACCTTGCATGGCTGAAGAAGTACATTTTCTGTTCTATGACACTTAGAAGCAAAAAGCAAACACACAACTCATTAAGTGATGCAGATGCACCACATTACAGCAATGCACAGTACAGTGCCCTCATGTGGAACATAATTGTAACTTCCAGATAACATTGATCATCACGGTAGTTAAACTGGACCCGAGGAATTCAGCTTTTATTTGTCTGTTGGTGACAAGACTTGGGGGGGATCCTGGTATTCTCCCCTTGTGAGTGAGGTTACCTGTGGGTTAACGCCCTGCGAGAAGGAGGACACCCCAAATGCGAGGCCAGAGAAGTTGCGGGGGTCCACGCCGACGACGGAGAGCGCCAGGTTTGGGGACGTCAGGCTGAAGAGATTCCCTGGGAAGGCTATTCTGTTCCCGAGACTCTCCATGACATTCAGGATGCTGTGGCGTAGTGGGAGATGGAAACACAGGGCTGGTTAAAGAGTTCTGGCCCCTGCGGCTCAGCTCTCGCGCTAGTCTCTCCTGCTGCTCACTCACTTCCGCACGCCTCTGCAGAACACACACTTCACAGGCGGTGTGTTCCGAGACAGACTGAAAATACTCTTAAAAAAAACTTTTGCATGCTTGCATGTCCTCACAGTGTCCTTAAGTTGGGTATTTCTCCGGGCTCTCCAGATTCTGCTCACCTTCCAAAGATGCAGGGTGGGTTAATCGCATCTCAAATTGTTCCTGTGTGCTTGTGAGAGACTCTGAGAGCACGTACGTATGTGTGAGTGCGTGTGAGAGCTTGTGCATGCGTGTGTGTGTACTCTGTAATGCACCAGCGTGTCCTACTTCCAGGACAGGTTCCACGTTGGCACAACCTCACATTGGAATGAGCACCTTTCAAATTATGGATGGATAAAAATGAGGAGGAACTGCACAAAGAATGGTGGAAACGCAAAGCACAGCTCTGTCTCAGTGGGAGGGAATGCACTGTCTCCCAGGCCGGACCCACTCACTCGTTGGTGAAGGGCTGCAGGTTGCTCTCAGTTCCCAGGAGTTTGTTGAGGATGTCGATGATAGTCTGCCCGAGGGGTGGAGTCACACTGCCAGCATCCAGGATCTCTGCCATCTTGGAAAACACAATGATCAGCTCGTTGTGGCTTAAAAACAGCTGGTCGCTGGTCAGGTTTTTGATCAGTTCTGCCAGATCCTCAGAGTTGTCTGGGGAAACACATGCATAGATGTTTTAACATACCTTAATCTGAACATCTTTAGGCTTTGAAGGTTTAGTCCTCGTGGTGGATGAGCATGTTAAAACTCTTATTTCACAGAAAAACAGGATGGAGGTCCCCAACATCCCAGTCACACTTCAGTTTAGGGGCTGCAAAGTGATACCTTACAAATCCATTGTAAGTCAGTTGTTTTTATCAGTATTGCAGATAAGGCCAGCTATCTCCTGCAAGCAAACCTTGTGTTAGGGTTGTGTGCTGCATTTTGCATTGCATTGCAGGTGCACAGACCATGGCAATCAACTGGTGCACAAGCCATTATATCCTAAGTAACACCATCACAGATCTTCACAGAAAGAATCCACAGGGTGGTGCTGATTAAGATGAATGATACTCTAGCAAAGTCAACAGAGTTAGATCAGGGATGGGCAATCAGCTAGAACAGAAGAATTAGTTGCTGTGGCTCTGGAGGACCAGTTATGGATGCCTCCATTCCAGATCATCTCTGAATGAGGGCTTAGAGATGGAGGTTGAGTATGGAGCACCGCACATTTTTAACATGATCTGCCCTTCCTTCTTCTGCCAGACGTCGCTTGATCCACCTCCTCACACTCCCCCGGCACACATGCGGAGCCCCGGAGCGCCCACTCGTAATTGTGCAGAGGTACTCACTGGCAGTGACGGTGATATTGCTGAGGTCAGCAATGGTTTTATGCAGCGTCGGACAGGACATCAGGTCTGGCTTGTCCCACTGGGCACGGTTTGTCAAAGCATTCACCATACTGCAGAGAAACACACAACCAACACTGTAATCCCTTCATGGAACACAGAGGAAAAACAGAGAGAAATAGACTGAAGTGTGCTGTGTGTGAGCCACCATTTATTAATTTTGAAGTATCGTTTTTTTTTCCATTGATCTTATGAATATTAGTGATTTTTACTAAGGCAGTCCTTTAAGATTCTGGTCCTATTTTTCTCCATCAGTATTACCCATATAATGATAATAAGCCAATAAGCAACACTCATATCCTCCTCTATACTGACATCACCTATTTTAATATCTGTGATGACTGATTATGCTGCTCAATTTCAATAACATTCATCAGGCTTTCTGTTTAAGTGAAAGAAAGTTAAAGCAAGTCACGGTTTATAAATATCTAGGCATCTGAATGGGTAGCACTTTAGTTTTCCAAATTCCTACTGATAATTTGCAAGCAGAAAAGTGAAGTCTTTGCTTGGTTTCCTTTACCATAATGAATCCTAATTCACACATTCATCAAGGCACACACAACTTCACGTGTCCCGATCAAGGACTATGGTGGTATGGTTTACTGAATGACCTCTAAAACTGTTCTTGGGAAACCGGATGTCTGATACCATTCTGCCATAGGATTGATCACTGGATTCCCCTAGTGCCATGTTGTCATGAGCACTCTTTCACACTGCTGGGGAATGAGTACAGCATGAGGACAAGGCAGGTAGAGCCGCTGCCTCATAGCTCTAGGGTCCTGGGTTTGATTTCAGACAGAGGAGCTTTCTGCATGGAGTTTGCATGTTCTCCCTATGGCCACTTGGGATTGTGCAGGATTTTCCTGCCACAGTCCAAACACATGCTGTCCAGTTTAATTGGCATCTCTTCAATGTTCCAATGTGTGCATGCTATGAAATGGACCAGTGTCCCATCCAGTGTCCCACCTAGAACCCGTCTTGATGCCAGTCTCTGGTGCTGGTTCATTTCTTCCATATTAAGTATTTCACGTTTTGTTTTATAGTAATCAAATCAATGAAAGGTTAATATTTCAAATTTCATTTGTCTAACAGATAAATTGGATTACAGATTTTTTACCTAAAATTGTTGGTGTTAGAAATCACCAAACATGTGCCGTTTTCATTCATTAACCTCCAGTAAAGATTTTAATTTGAAGGGCAGTTTATGGTCGGTTGAGTAAATCAAGAAAAAAAACCAAGCTACATAAACCAAAATCACTAGAAGAGCAATAAATTGCTTTGTGTTATTTTAATGAAACTGTAAGGAAACTGATTGTCTTATCACTTGTTTACTAGATTTCAATTTTATCTCTAATTGCATTACATGTAATATTTTTATTGGTAGATCTCACATAAAATATGGGACCCTTGTCCAAACAAAGCATTTATTAAGGAATAATTACCTACTATTAATAGGCACAAGTCATAAATTAAGCTCTCTGTTGTTATTAAAGTACTGTGTACAGAGCAACAGGTCTCACTTAATTGCCATCTGATCACTTCTGCGTCTCTCAGCAAATCTCCAGCTGGTGCCGAGCCAGGTACGCATCAGTCACACACACGTTAAGCACTACACATGCAGGATCAAAGCTAAGCACACTAAATCTTTGTTTAAACTGCATCTGTCAAGACTTTTATGATTTAGATGATGACAGTGAATATTATGGCGAATGAAAGTCCCTTCAGCAGGGGGCAGGGCTTTGGTGTGGTGGGTTTAGCAGCCAGATATTCAGGGTGTGAGGGTCAGGATCTTAGAGGTTCAGGATCTCAGAGTCATAGGGATGCCATTTCCCCAGGGCCTGTCAAGAGCATTCGAACGTCCCACGACAGAAGGCCATGCTTTGGGGGAATGTGAGTTTGGCACTTATCGGAGCTGAGTGTAGGAATTCAGGAATTCAGAGGTGTGCTTGCAAGTTAGAGCCTGTGAACCAAGCCGCAGATGCTGCACATAAAACAGCAATGGAGCTCTTTGGAAGAGTGGAGACAAATGAATGTAGGACAAGTGGAGGGGAGGAGCAGGTGAAGAAATTGGGGTGGGGCTTATTGGGGGAGGGGCTCCCTGGTGGGAGGGGCTCACGGGCCCCACCCACACACCCAGTATTGCAGCGCTCACCAGTTCCTCGTGGCTTGATTTTCAGGGTCCCTTTCACACTGCAGTTTGGCTGTGAAGCGGGCCTGGGTCTCGGGCCATAGGTATTGCCCCTGGTGCATCAGCTGGGTCTGTTCTGGGCATCTTCCAGGTTCTAGAACAAGAGAAACACTGTCACCAGGCCCAGACTGACAGAGCCGGAGAATGTGCTGAGAGTGAGTACGGGGGAGTGCTGTAACATACCAATGGGGTAGACATTGATGCTGTTGGGCTCGGGTTCCACAGATCCAGTACCATTGGTGTAGTTTTTTTGCAGCAGATGCTCAATCTGTGTCTTGGTGTCATTCACATTTGCTGTGGAGTTCACCTGCAGCTGGAACCTGCAGGCACAGCTGTTGAGTGGACACAATGTGCAGTAAAATACAAGCGTATAGAAGAAAGATGCAAGGTCTCGCAATACTGACGGGATTATTTCTGTATCTCAGTCATGAATTGTGACACATGGATGTTAGGTGCATCAACAATTACTGTAGCTGAAAGTCTTCACCAATGTTTTATAGTTTAGTCTCTATGTGAAGAGACCGAGCTTTACATTAGGCATGATTTAATTGACATTGCTCAAAAACGGACAGCCTATCACAACAGCTCAAGGTAAACTACACATGAACAGCAAATATGAAGTGTTGCAGTAGCTAATCCACCACCTTATCACACTGACATATCAGTCAATGACTATGTAAATGAGTCACTGTTAGGTGTTCCTCATCATTATCATTATTTGTTCTTCTCAACACATCCATTCATCTCATGACTGCTGTCTCCAGTTCAGGGTCGAGAGAGAGCTGCTGCCTATCCCAGCATGCAGTAGGCACATGGCAGGGTACATCCGTGATGGGATGCCAGTCTTCCATAGGGTGCACACACACACACTCATACCACGACCATTATTCCCATTGAACCTACCAGTATGTCTTTGGACTGTGGGAGGAAACTGGAGCACCAAGCAGAGACTCACACACATACACAAGCACAACATGCAAACTCCATGCAGATAGCGCCCCAGCAATTGTACCTGGGGCCTTAGTGCTGCAAGGCAGCAATGATAACCTCTGTGCCATCGTAAGGTTGGCATCCATAAGCTAAGAGTCAACTTCAGACAGGTCTATGAAGGCTAACTAGCTTAAAACAAAATGGCTCAGATTCCAGTACAATATTGGCCATAGGACTGCATTTCTGGGGAAAAAAGGAACTACACTGAGTGAAAAAACAGAACAGTGCAATGTATATATTTCACAAACCACTGCGATCGGTGTCAAACATTCTGTAAAAGTGACAAGCAAATTGTATAACGACTTATGTTCATCCCTTACTCACACCTTCCCACTGCTTCCTGAAGCTGTTAATGCTGATGTATCTGAGATTTTTTTATAAATATATCTTTAGATCAGCCGGGATTTAGGAATCGGTGTAATATTTGTTTTATTTGACTGTCTGAAATTTTAACTATTTCTCTGCTGTACTGAAGTAGCCTGCGTTACTGAAACAGCTGTACATTAAATTCCGTGATCACACTCACAAGCTTCAACACAGAACTCTATATTCAATACCTGGTTTGTCTGGGCAGAGCAACCTGCAGGACAAACAAAAGAGAAAATGAGCAATCTCCTCTGCACCCCGAAGACTGCAGGATGTGTAATATTTAAACATGCATGTGAATGTCTCTCCAGAAACTGTACAATTTGAACACTAGAATTTTTTATTTTGTAGGAGGCAACATCAATAATTCTAGCACTATCTAAGAGGTTTAATTATTTTTAACTTCATCGCTGTAACTTGGTTTAGCTGATTTTTAAAATAATGGTTTTGTATTTATTGCTGCTTAGTGTATATCCACCTTCTTATACATCATATTTTATACTTCAGGTTTCTTAGCTGATGCTCCTGGGTTTTTTTCCCTGTGGGAAGGGCCACTGTTCCCAGAATCTGCTTCATACTGTCATTGTCAGATTACCCATGGTACACTGAAGGCCATGCTACTCACCGTGCCAACAGAATTCTTTCCTCTGGCTGCGTTAGTAGGTGACATTCTGGAAAACACATTACGTTTAAGAAACACTGTTAACGGCTCTTAAGAAAACTTTTTTTTTCCTAAACTCCTTTACACCCTCTGCATGTCTCATGCGGTGTTTCTAGTGCCCCAGTTTGAGCGCTGTTTCAATACAAGAAAAAACGCTTTAAGAGGCAAACAAAAGCAAGTTGAACAAGATGGCAAGATGACTGCTGCATCCTTAGACACAATAACATGTCTAACGGAGCGACATATTATCAATCTTGCATTTACAATCTTAGATGACCTCCCTCATCCACTCTTTTTAGAACACATTCTCCTACCCTTTGGGAGAAGGTACCAGATCCCCTGCATATAGAATAAGAAAGCGTTTACTTTCTTCATACCTCAAAGCATTCAGCTATTGAACAATGGAAAGATTCTCTGGAGTTAGGGATCTTATTATTATTGTTGTTGTTGTTGTTGTTGTTGTTGTTGTTGTTGTTGTTGTTGTTGTTGTTTTACACACATTTTCAGCTAGCTGTTTTTAATCTCATGGTATTGGAAGAGCTCTGATTGAGCCATGCTGTTGAATGTGGTTTTGTACTATTGTGTTGTACTGCTGTTGTATTGTGTTATTGTCATATATGCTGTGTGTTTCTGATGTGCAAGACAAATTCCCTTGGGGCGATAAAGGCTAATTCACTTCAATGTCTTTAAATCAGCTCCAGACAACCGTCTGTGTTTCACCTGTGGAGGCGGCTACACAGACGACATTCTTATCAGCACTCTGCACACCCATATCAAACGGTTTCAGACCTGCGCCCCCCTCATGTCCTCTTGCACAGCAGTTTGCAACATGCAATTCCATCCCCGAGCAGCTGCCCCAGGCCAGTCAGAGAGAAGCCGTGCGGTGAGTATCACTCATGCAACTGGCCTTACCTCACGGGGGCGAGCGAAGCGTTGAGATTGAAAGCTGTCATTTCGTCCCCCGGCAAGATTTTAAGAAGCTGTAAGAAACAATTCATTTCAAGTGCAATTAAGCTGTCGTAAAATGAAGCTGTTACTTAACTGGCGGGAGGTTAATTTCTGCTCCTTACCCATTCGTAAATGAATGGTTCTGGGTTATCTGATGAGTCTTTCAGCGTGGCATTCAAGCTGACTGTATAGAAGGTCACTGCAATAAATGGACACAAGTCACAAAGTAACACTTTAACATCCTTCTCTTTAGTCTGAAGCTCGGTTTCTCGTTCTCAGAGCTTCGTCTACCCCAGGGAGAGCCTTGAATTTGATCATATTGCGTTTCCAACAGGAAATCGATTTATTCTGGAACTGAAAGAACTACAGCGGTGCTCAGTCTATGGACCACGTTTCCAAAGTAAAACTCAACAAAGAATAAATTGCACGAGTTCCTGCAGACGGCAGCGGTGAAATATGACTGACTTGGGGCCGACAAATCTTCCAAGAATGCCGAACATCCATTTCACTCTGCCAATGCACTCTCCTCTTCTCGCCCTGCAGGCCATTGCCATAAAACAGCAGCTGGCTTCTGAAGTCGCTGCTCCTCTGAGGATAACAATCAAGTTCCATGGTTTCAAAATGAGAAGGTATGCATGACGCTTAAAACCCTTTTGCACCTTTGCTTCTGCAGTGAAATGTGAGGCTTTGGCTTCAGATTGTTTTGTATTTTCCACTTTCACACACACCGAAGTCCATTTCTGAGCACCGCAGACTAAGGACAGCTGGCTATTCTGCAGAAGCGGGGGATTTTGAGTTAAGGAGGCAGAGCCCCTTGCTCTGGGCCAGTGAAGTACAGAGCAGCCCACTGAGAGACAGAGGGCTGATCAGCAGCTGCTCGTACCTTGAACATTAGGGACGGGCCTGTGTGAATGGAGTGGGGTTGTGTCAGTAGGTACCCAGGGGCTGGATACTGCCTGGCTTGTGACTGGGGTAGGTGAAGTGGACAGGATTGCAGTGGACGTCTCTACTGTAGCTTCTGTAAAAGGAACATGTTGAAAAAGCTGCCCAGCTATAAAGACACTTAGTGCCCCCGTTCCTGTGTTAGATGTTTGAATATAGGCCACATAATAAAGTTATATCATTTTACTTTCATGTCCTCTTAATATGATTACTAAAACAATTGTAACAGCAATAAACTGTGCTCGTTACAGCTGACATTGATTTTTCTTACAGACACTTTACAGAGGATTCTCTAGCTGTGTTTAAACCATAAAGTACCGTTTGCAAAAGCCATGGCAAAAAGACCACCCAAATTCAGATGGTTGTGGATCCATTTTTTAAGATGTTGTTATCCAACCAGTTTTCAAGAAAAAAATCACTTGCCGTCAGTTGCTCACACTTACTGTGTAACACATACTGTGTTTTTATCCCACGTGATTAATATGTGAATGTCCTGGACACAGGCTGATTTCCCCCCTGCCCATTTCTCATCCTCACCTGTGGGGGCGCTGTTCTTTCCTGGGGTTGAGGTGCTCATCACAGCAGTGGAAACTGACATGGTGGTGTCTTGCGTTGTAGGTGTGGAAGGTCTAGAGGCTGTCAGGACACACGAGCACAATAACAAGTGCAAAGGCAGCACAACACAACACGAGTCAGCAACATGTGCTACACTTCCTCTAAAGAAGGTTGGTATAACAC